TCCCTCATTTAAACACACGCTTCACAGAACAGTAACTAATGGCAACCTCATTCATTAAAACACCCCTTGATGTTTCGCACGGAGCCAGGATAAATGTGCTGGAACGCCGGCCCTGTCTGTATGGTCGTGCAACGCTAACAACACAGATAGAGAGGCAGATAGACAGGTGGGGCAGCAGCTCGTCTTACACTCAGCCAGAGCAGCCAGAGCAGCCATGCACCGCCTCAGATGGAGATAAGATACATATTTCATCAGTTATTAAGGCTAAGACATAAGCCCGGTGGTGTCAGAAATCGTACTGTGGCATCGACTGCACCCATCTTTCCTGCCTACATGAATATAGATACAGGCTCTAAAAGTAGAATGAGAAATTCAAAAGGGATCCTTAATATGAGCCTTTTGTGAAGTTCCCATCCAGATGCAAAAAGATCTCCAGCCGCGGGCCTCAACAATCAGAGTACACAGACACTGACCCCTTCAGATCACAGATCAACAAAAATACTCCCTTTCAAACAATCCCACTCTTTTCATGCACGATATATAACAGGCTCCACGTTTCTCATGCACGTGAAGGTATGAAGTATGTGTGTGTGTTAAGTAACAGGTACAAGCTGACAGGTGCTCACAGGTATGCAGCATGTGCTTATACTGTTGCTTCAGGCTTTAAAGGCTGTTTAATATCAAGATGTTTAATTATGAGAGGACATTGATCCATCTCTGTAGGGTCCTGTCTTATACATGTAGAAATTGAGCTGTAACACTGCCACCGGGCGAAAAGCGTCTGCATGTGCAAAGAAAGGTGCTGGTATGTTGGGGATTATATACAGAAATGAGGGCAACAACTTTTTACAGCTGTTCCCGATGCCTACACATCTAGGTGGGGTTCAAAGAAGGAGGTTGGATGTTCTAATTCTGTTTATTCACACAAAAAAAATTAAGCTTGAAAGAAAGCCTGAGGAAAAAATAACTCTGCTCTTTTTGTTAGCTATGTATCCATTAGTCAATCCATGTCTGAAGGTGGGTGCCTGTTTAAGATGGGACTTTAATGCCTCTGTTATTCCGTACCGTCAGTGTAAATGCCACAGAGGTGAAATGGGGGATAACTTTAAACTACAATATGATACAAAACATTGTTCAGATGTGTGTCATGTAGGGTTAGAGAGTGTGTAAAGGCCCTGACACACCAAGCAGACGGCAAAGAACTAGTGGTGACGAAGGCCACTAGTTCTTTGCCATCTTAACCAAAAAGTTGTACTTGAACACACCGCAAAGACTACAGCCGACGGCCAACCACCACGTACGATCTGTGCATGCGTGAGAGGAAATAGTCTCCATGCCAGCAGGCGGCGGTAGTCCATTCTTATGATACGAGAAGACCATTTTCACAACGGCTGTTCGGTCAGAAAGAAGAGGCTGAGGAGACAAATAAGGAGAAACCGCACTAATGGGTGAAAGCATGAATACTACAGCGACATGCTCAAGGGGCTTTACTGAACCTGTGTGGAGAGCTGGAGAGAAATAAAACCTCCCAACAGCCAATCACAGAGATCCCTCCCACCGACCGGGCCAAAAAAAGGCAGACAGGGGGCGACGGAGCTGGACACACCGCAAAAACTAGGACCGACGACCTACGATCTCCTTGGTGTGTCGGGTCCTTAAACTTCACCAGTTCCTCCGTCTACATGTTACACCTTCCTTACACTCATCAGCAGCTACCACAAGACAGGCTCCTACCGGCCGTACTGCCTTCAGACATTTTTTTAATAAACTGAAATAATATCTTCCAACCATTCCACGGCCTCAGTGAGATAAATAGGACAAACATGACCAATTGGGACAAGACAATAATCCCTTTATCTGACACAGGGTAAGCTTGACTAGCCGGCTTACTGGTTACATAATTAGCTATAGGCAAGAAGGAAGCAGGAAAGGAGGGGAGGATGAAAGAAGTAGGACCAAGCTGAGGTCAGTCGGGTTGATGTAATCAGGACATAAACACCACACAGTGATTAAGAAACCGAAGACAATGCATAGCAGAACACAAAGAGCTGGAGGCTATGACACAATTAAATAATGGTGGGAGACCAGTACAAGTCCTGTACAAGTACAGCAGCACCAAGTGTGGAAGTGCGACGGACAAGCCTGTTTGACAAGGATAGATGAGCTCAGCTACATGAGCCTGTACTCACTAAGCACTGAGGCGAACAAAGTTGAAATTCTAAGCACCCCGAGATCTGCTCCTGCAAGCTTCACATCACTTGTTTACCTTGAACACTGGGGTTTTTTTTATTTGCATGAGTCAACCTTGTGGAAAATCCATAAGTCATTTGCAAGGCTCTAACAGCACATCACCAGCAAATACCAGCTATGACATCCAAGATGCAAACAGCCATGTTTGAGGGGAATGTAATTATCTCCAAAATGGAAAAGGGCAAGAATTAATCAAGAAACTCTTTGCATCCAAAAGCCTCTGTAACGGGCTTAATTTGACTCTTTCTAAAGTCTACCACACTGTATAAAAAGGTTTTTAAAAAATCATCCCAGTCACTACTTCATCAGACAAAAACAAGGATTCAAGTGGACTAAGACGATATGCCGACTTCCCTTGAATCAAAGCAGACACCAGTGGGATGTTTTTTTCTGTTGTGGAGGATTTGGAGAAACAGCAGCCAGCAGGTTGCAACTGGAAAATTCCCACCTGCATGTCTCTACCTTATAAAGGTAGCGTCTGTAAGGTCAGAAACAGAAAGCATCCTGCTATCTTCACATCTGAAAGCATCAAAGATGGTTTGATGTTCCCTCTAAGCTTTTGAACTCACCATCAACTCCACCCGCAGCAGCAGCAGTTTGTTTGTTTGTGGCCCAAACTGAACTCCACGCTAAGACGCCCGTAGTGCTCTTCTCCCATGAGCTCATTCTTTGAATTGAAATGCAAGGCTTGTCTCCTGCCTCACAGTGAGTGGTGGGGTAGTAAATCAAACCTTCTCGTTATGTCACACTGTACTTCAGGACATTATGAAGTCATTATGCACACACACTCATCAAAATGCCTCAAACTGGAAACTTGGTGTCCCTGGTCTAAGTTTTGGTGACTGCTGTTGGGTAATTTTCTAGTCAATGTCAGCCTTTTTTTCCATTCCTACACTGCCAAGAGGAAATGAAGGGATGATCTCTCCACTCTCCTCTACTCATCACTCTCCGAGAAAACAAACAGGAACATTTTATGGCCTGCTTATTGACCTACGGCCCCAGGAGCAACTAAAACAGGCTACTGCTGGTGTTTGCTTCAGGATGAGCTACTTAAACTGATAAAACAGCACTGCCCTGTCAACATGTACAGTCCAGGTCCCACACAGGGACTATAGTGTGTTTAGGAGACAGTTTGAGAGGAGGGTATCAGGAAACAGTTTGGGAAAGAGAGCTTGGATCTAATGATTCACCTGTCAGACATGATAAAAGATGATCAGGATCTGCAGATTTCTGAGCAGTTTGAATACCATCACAGTTCACTTCACCTACTTCATACTTGTCAGCCTTTCTGCCTCACTGTTTTATCAGGACACAATGGTACCTCAGTGTAGCCTATTTAAAAAGCAAACTGTAAAGACAACAAAACCAAACTCCTCAATCAACACAATCCACTAAGAGGGAACCAAAAACGTCTCAAGAGAGACTCTACACTGGGAGCAGTTGCAGAGCCGCCACCTGGCATGTGTGTGTGTGTGTGAGGGTATAAGTGTGTTTATGTGTGTGGTACCATAGACACACACCTGTTCTTCCCCGGCACCAGGCCTGAGCCTCAAACAAAGCTTCTCTCTGTACCGACATGGACACTGTTTGATTTCTCTCACAGTTCCCCTTCATGCTGCCTCTGCTGAAACCTAAACACACTGTTTGCTATGGGCGGAAAAAAAAAGACTGTTTCAGAAGCTCTGTGGAGAAGAAAGAAAGACCTTCCTAGGGACTCATCTGGTTCTAATGCAGGGCCCGCTGGTGTGGATTACAGGCATGTATTACAGGAGAACTCAGGCTGACCCCTCATCTCTATCCCGGGGGGAAATGGTAGCCAGCCACGGTTATGGGGGGCTGAGGGTCCGGGGGCCTGAGGAGAAGAGGGGTGAATAGAAGCCCTTGGGCATCCTGCCACCCCACATGATTGGTGCCCTTCTTCAATGAGGGAGTGTCTCTAATGCAGTTTCCACATATACACTCCTGGAAATTTCAAGAGAATTTCAGGAGGACTTCCAATGAAATCCTCCTGGTTGTTCACACATGCAGCTCACAGCGGGAGACTATCCTGGTTGGACAGGAGGGGGGGCGAGTGTCTCCTGAGGCTGATGAGAAAGTGACAGAAGAAGCAACAGAATGCGATACAAAGCTAATGAGAATATTGGACTTTATATCAATGCTATGTGTAGTTCGACATAATCACAATATCAACAAAAGCCTGACATGAAAACAAGAAAAAAAAACCATCACATATCCCCAAACCTCTCCATAACAGAAAAAAATGTCTCTGCTTCAGATATTTCCTTTGGTCTGCCGACTCTTTATCAGAGCTTCATCCAGTCAGAACAGTCCTCTGATAATCATCCGAGTGATTCTAAAACATATTCATTTCCTCACATGAATGCAATAAGCAGCTGGCTACTGATCAAGCCTCTAAGTATCCCACACCGGACAGGGGGTTAACTACAGGTGTAAAGAACCCAACAGGAAAGGCAGAAAATGAATGAAGGGAGAGCTACAGCAGCAGCTCGTGAGGCTGGCAGTAAATCTAAATGTTGGCCAAATAATCAGTTCTAGTATGAAAATATTCCTTAAGAAGCAGGGATGGATCAAAACAAGATTCATTGAAGCATGATGATTATGACAGAAAGAACAGGAACAAACAGCGGGACACAGCTCTGTTCTTTTTGCCAGCTCTGTTCTTTTTTATCCAAAAAAGTTCTATATATATATCCATTAATAGCAAATGAATAAGAACGGTCTGCTCTTACCTGTAGTATCTGGACTGTAGATAGGTGGAGCAGACTGCTTTGGACACGTGGCTGGCAGATCCAAAGTCAATCACTTTGACCCTGTAGGGTTGTCGAGACGGGTCCACGAGCATGATGTTCTCCGGCTTTAGGTCCGCATGGATCAGCCCCAGGCTCTTCAGCTTCATTAGCGCTGTGGCCACTTGCTGTAGCACGGGTCTGATGTATTTGAGCGGCAAAGGGCTGAACTTGTTCTGCTTGAGGAAGTCGTACAGGTTCTGCTCCAGCATCTCAAACACCAGGCACGTGTGGTTCTTGTGCTGGAAGCACTCGTAGGCCCTCACAAAGTTGTAGTCATCCGCACTCTCCGTGCTGAGACGCGCCAGGATGCTAACCTCGATCTGACCCTGCCGTGCATAAGACGGGTGGTTTTTCAAGATCTTGATAGCCACGATCTCGTTGGTGCCCCTCTTCCAGCACTTGACGACCTGTCCAAAGGTTCCTCTCCCCAAGAATTCGAGCACTTCATAAGTGTTGGTCATGGAGCAGAGCACTTCATGCTGCACCAGCTGGTAGTCCCCCTCGCTGTTGGAGCCGCTGTTCTTGGATGTTGCCGTGGAGGTCGCGGTGGCCACTGTGGCCACCGTGGCTCCACTGGCTGCTCCGTTCTGAATCATGGGTGGGCCGTGCTCCTCAATGATCTGCACACTGCTGTTGTTGTCGAGTTCCTCGCTCTTGCGTTTAAGCCCGCATCTCTGGTAGGTGTCCAGAAGACTGACCGTGCTACGGCGTGTCAGGTTGTGGACACCAATCCCACCACCCAAACTACCACCGCCCCCACCTCCACTGCTGTTGCTGCTGCTGCCTCCACCCCCGCTGCCCAGCAGAGACCCAACGGCCCCCGAAGTGCTGCTGGCTGACGCGACCACGATGTGGCCCGCGCTGGCTGGAAAGATGAGCGCCTGCTCGTAGGGCAGGGTGGTGCTGGCGACCTGCAGGGAGCTGTTGATGCCGAGGGGGCCGCTGGTGGCCGACAAGTTTTTGCTGCTATTGTGGCTGTAGACTTTGCTGTGTGTGCCGTACCCTGTCATATCCCAGTTGCAACTCTGCTCCACCTTCAGTTTCTTCACGCTAAAGAAGGCACTTGATTGGAGAGTGTGAGGGGAGAACACTTGCACTTGCGAGGCCATACCTGTGAGAAGAGGGGGAGGGGGTGGGGGGGGGGGGCAGAGAGGACAGGAGGGGAATGAAAGTGAGAAGTTAGGAAATTGAGAGTGTCTGCAACATGAGCAGAAGCCAAAGCTTTAAATAAAGACAGCTTGGGTCAGAGCGGGTCATTAAACACCAAGCATATATGCCGATGTGCAGCATGTTAACCTGTTTAACTTTTTAACATCCAAGTAAAGAACAAAGCATTAAATAACCCTAAAAACGTCATGTGACATTTGTTGCTTTGGCATGAAGTCATTCCTTAGCAACGCCATGTATTATAGAACATCAGATTCCACATCATTAAAACTGGTGGGAAATGGTTTTTTTTTTATTCAATGTCATGAGTTTTTTTTTTTTACATTGTTATGCAACATAAATAAAAAAGCAGAATGTTTGGCAGAAAGATAAGCGGGTTTAGATTGAGTAGTGCTTATGCAAACCACTGGTTCATGCAGAGGAAATGCCTTTTCCCCAATGTTCCCATCTGCAGTAAAGTAAATAGGCTGAGTGAATACTAAAAGAATATCCTTTCATGGGACACTCCACAGAGACAGCGGGGCAACACAAAACCGTACACAAAAAAAAGGCCAACAAATAAAAAAATCTCATGGCATGATTGCAATTTCCTTTCCCCACTACACAACCCAGCCTTTGGATTTATTGGTACACGATTACTCAGTTTAGGGAAGGTGGTGGAAGAAGTAACTATGAGAACAGGAGAGGGGCACTGAACTCCCTCTCAGCTAAAGATCCCGAAGACAACAAAACAAAAGCAAAACTGCAGCGAGGCTGTGCTCTGAACTCCTGGGAACAAGCTGCCTCAGAGTAAGCAAAAGCTTCTCCAAGCAAACAACTGCCCAAAAATAGTCCCTTTCTTTATCTCCCTCTTTGCAAACAGGCTTGTTTGTAACATTGAAATGATTATTACAGCACAAGGAAGATTATATGAGACTTGTAGTAATGCTATGTTTAAACAGTTTCCAGTAAAACCAAAATTAGTTTACTGCTAACAAACTAAGAGCTTCCACCTGGTCGTACCAACACCCACACAATTAGACCTCGCTTGTTGAACAACTGATGCATGAATCAAAGAATTTAACGGTCACAGCTTGCACACAAACAGTAACAAAATCCATGCAAGCAAATAGTCATTAAACTGTGTTTGCTGCTGCAGAAAAGGCTGCTGCTGTGCGTTTAATAGACGCCTTGAAAGCTGGGAAAAGTTTTATGTTCAGAGATAATTAGAGAAACATTTCCCCCAAGACGAGAGGTTTTTTTTTTAACTGTGAGCTCTATTGTGTGAACAGAAGGCAGAGGGGAGGGGACACGCTGGTCACTTTGTCATTATTAGCCCTTTGAGTGGTGATGAGGATTAATTCAGGAGGAAGTTGGCGGTTCTCCACTTCTCTTTGCTTCATTTGTCTTTTTTAAGCATCCTCACCTTTCTTCCTCCTCCTTTTAGAATCTATTCAGTCTCTCTGCGGCCTTGCTTGGACTTAAGTTATCTGTTCGGTCATCTGGTCTTAGCACTAATGCTGCAGGATTGAAACTGCACATCAGAGGGCTCACTGTAAGCCTGCTGGGTGTTGTACAGTAGCTCAGGTTTCATAGCACCTCCATGCATGCTGAAGTACTAAATGTATTGCCATATATCTGCATGTGGTTAAACATATTCTTTCGCATGACCATTCATGTAGATATGACTAGTCCAGAAAGGTAATAAGGATCGTCCGCTAGGCTATTAGGGGCAAGGCTCTCTGCTAATCACATAAGCCCTGAAAGCCAGATGTCACTCCTTGGATTACCAATTCCTGTGCCTGGACTTTACGCTAAAAATAATTTGAATGATGGGTTACGTCACAGAGCGGCGTCCACACAGTGTGACCGAGAGTCTGTGAGGATAATCACAGGCACAGGCTGATGAACGCAAAGATGGATGGGCGGACACAGAGTGGGCCTGTTCCTCTTATGGAAAATTCCAGCAATACATATCTGCCAGTGTGATTATGGATAGCTCAGGGTTTTACAAGGCCGGATTGAGGCTAAAACTGCTCTTGCATTAGCATCACATGAATTCCCTCTTCAACCCTTAGACACTCATTGACTCTCTGTCAGTTTTTAACCCCGCGGTCAAAGAGTTCACTCGACACCGCCTTTACTGGGCAATGAGCTGAAGGCCACAAACATTAACCAAAAACAGGAAAAACATCACCCAGAAAAATCTTTACACGCACAGCCTTGGTAAGAAAATTGTGAAATGCTAGTTTTTCTACACAAAAAAAAACGAATAGCTGCACAAGACAGACCCCAGTTTGGAGCCATGTGCGGACGCAGATAAGTAATTAAATGAACTTAAAGTAAGAGGTCAAATGGTTCGAATGTTATCTCATGACAACATACACAGGCAACAATGTGAACAATTAGACTTCATTGGAAAGGCGGCTCCAGTCCTCATGAATCACTTTTCACCAGAGCTGAAGTTCAAACATATTTATGATCTAGTATCTGAACAACCAAACCCTCTAAACTGTTGTCAGGAAAAAGAAAAAAAACACACAGAGCCAAAGCCCTTCCCTTGAAAACGTCCTCTTGAAGTTTATTTGAATTTCTGAACTCTAAGCCAAGCACAAAACTGTAAAGGTCCATTGTTGTGCATTTACAATGTTGGAATGCCTTCAGTAGCCAAGGCTTTCCATTTAGCATACCTAAAGGAACGCTGTGTGTCCCACATACTGCAATTAAGCATGCCAGAGAGGCATTTTCCTCTGTTTAGAGGCAGCATGTTGAAATGGTGGTAGTCAATGTTTTCAGGGAGATTACTCCTCTGTCAGGGGTTTGTTAATCTTCTTTTTGGGAGGATCAGGGCCGTTCTGCATGCCATGCGAGGGCGAGAGACGGGCTGAAAGGAGGAACGGAAGGAGAATAGGCCATGAGTGGCCCTCACATTCTAGCCTGTGACCTGCTTCTGTTTTGCCCTCCTTTATTAAAGCCATCATTTATACTCCCCTGACGATGTGACAGAGAGTATTGATGAGGGCGCTTTTAGACATGTTGAAAAACCTGCCAACGACTCCTTTTTAATTACAAATACTTTTTAAATACAATGTTGCTCTTAACTCAACTCACCCAGTCCCGCTCTTTAGAAAATTCAAACTGTTCAAGGTTGAGGTGAAAATGTAATCTGCCCTGCGATTACAAAAGTGCATAAAGGGAGACATTTAAATGTAAAATCACTTGTAACCCAGAAGACCTTTGAAAGACCAGCAGTCAGGTCTGTCTCGTCATAGTCGCCTGGTCTGGATATATTTGGACTACATCCTGAGGACTTATGGCTACTGATGACCCAGTGTCTTTACTTGGCATCCCAGTGTCTGGAGGACTGGAAGGTCTGGGGGGGGGCAGGCTAAATCGCTGGTTAATGGAACAACCTGACTGTCTAGACAAAGCATTATCTCAAACCTTCAGTGGTGCATGTGGATCTCAGCTTATCACACCTCCATTCCTTTTCCGAACAACCTGACACAAACACACAAGATAACGTAATGTGTCTGAGTCAGGTATTGGACGGCCAGAACAACCCCAATCTACTCCGTTATAGATTATTCAAGCATTTGATCATCTATATAACCAATGTTGTTTGTTAAAGCGATCAAGTTAGTTAAACGGAAAGTTAAATTCTGATTAACCGACCAGTCTAAAGATAAGAAAACACTCAGAAAGCATTCAAAAGTGAGAACAATTCATACAAAATAGTCTGTGGGTAAGCCGTGATTTGTTTTGCTAAGTGTGGCTAACGTACCTGCGCTAGCTCCGCCAGCCTTCGGTCCTCCCTGCAGCTCAATTTGCACATGCCTGTGCTAGATGTGGTTTCTCATTGCTCAATATGCTAGTTCAACCCGACACAGCCTACCAACAAATTTATCTCCACTTCCTAGATCAAAATACTGCCAAGACGCTCTGCTCCGACGAGATGTTATCTGTCCACTGTGCTCGTTTACATCTGGGTTGTAGAGCGGGGAGAGCAGGGCCCTTAACCAGAACTACAGTTACAGTTTGAGAATAGTATCCGACCTATATTGAAGGAAAAATATTAATCATTTGTTTAACAGACTAGTAATTCTGGAGCCAACTAGTCGAGAGCATAAGATTTACTGTTTTGGGGTGACGTTGGCCTTGTGGTTGGTTTGTGTTTCCCATGTACAGAGGCTGTGGTCCTCAAAGCAAGCAGGCCAGGTTCAAATCTGACCTGTGTTTTCCTTTACGTCATCTCCTCCCCCCCCCCGATTTCCAACTCTACTCTATTTACACATCTGCCTCTATTCCTGAACTCTTGTATCCAGGTGTTCTTTCATTTTGTACATGCATCTTTAATTTGAGTGATGCTACATGAACACAGGCCTCGCAGACAGAAGACCCACTGATGGGAAACCTGTTGTGGGGACAGTGACCGAAACGCTGGGGTTAAACACATCAGTGAACGCACCACTGAAGAGGAACATATTGTCCATACAGAGCAGCCCGGCCTTGTGTTCCTGCCTCCTGTCTGAGTTCTGCCCTCAGTGGGGGAGCTGGAGCTTGACTCTGCATATATCTCTCTCTCTTTCTCGCTCCCCCTCGCTCTCTCTCATCTCTGCTTATTTATAGAATAATGCATCAGGCGAGCTCACGGGGAGAGTCTGTCACGCAGGCTGCTTTATGCTCATCCTGACCTCAGTATTTGACCAGTTGAAACTGCCTCAGCATTTCTCTCCACTCTCTTATAAAACACAGAAATATAAGACAAATATAAAGCTAGCAAATTGAAGCCTCGGGGGCAGAAATGAATGTTGTCTCACCGACACACACAGGACCTCTTAGACTATAAATCAGCCACATGCCTGCTAGCCTGTACATGTGACACTCCCTTAGCTCTCCCCTTCTCGGAAGCAAACAGCATGTTGTGTTAGCTTTGAGATAACATGTTCGCTCAGCAAAAATGCA